TGGGGCCCCCCTGTCCGCCCCGCCCCGCCCTGTCCATGCGCCTCACCTCCCCGATCATGCCGTTCCAGACGCCGTCGATCTTCTTCCCGTGCTTGCCGTTCGTGACCAGGTAAAGGTCGTAGCTGAAGCCGATGGTCTGCGCCAGCCGCTTCAGAATGTCGATGCAGAAGCCCTTGCAACACCGCTTTTCCGGGCGGGGGGCGTCTGGCGGAGGGCTGCGGGGAACAGCAGGCTTGGGGACACTGGGGACCACTCGTCTTAAGGGAGGGGAGGGGCAAGCAGCCGCTAAAACTCAGGTTAACGCTCTCGGGGTAAACTGAGGCTCAGAGGAGTTACGGGACTCGTCCAAGGTCGCCAAACTGGAGGGCGGTGAGGGTCCTGGGTCCCAAGGAAGGAGGGGCTGGGTCAGGACCCCTGGGCTTCAAGGGAGGAGGGTTTTTTGTTGTTGTTAATCCTCGGACATTTTCCCATTTATATTTCCATTTATTTTTTGTTAATCCTCACCCGAGGGTATTTTTCCATTGATTTTATAGAGAGTGGAAGAGAGAAGGAAAGACAGAGAGAAACATCGATGTAAGAGAAACACATCGATTGGTTGCCAACTGCACGTGACCCGAGGGTGGGGCAGGGGAGGAGCCTGCAACCAAGGTACCTGCCCTTGACCGAATTCGAACCCGGGACCCTTTGGTCCGCAGGCCCACGCTCTATCAACTGAGCCAAATCGGCTAGGGCTCTATTTATTCTTAGCGAAAGTGGAAGGGAGAGGAAGTGAGAGAGAAACACGATGTAAGAGAAACACATCGATTGGTTGCCTCCTGCACGTGCCCCAACCAGAGCCAGGGATGGAGCCTGCAACCCAGATACGTGCCCTTGACCGGAATCGAACCCGAGACCTTTCAGTCCACGGGTGACGCTCTAACCACGGAGCCAAAACGGGCGGGGCAGGGGAAAGATACTGAAGCTGGAACTCCCGGCCCCGGCTGTCACCTGTGGGTGCGGTTGAGCTGGCTCCGGCAGGGCACCGAGTCTCGGATGCAGGTGCCGCTGATGGGGTCGGCCGGCTCCACAATGACGAAGGGCCTCTCCTCCAGCGTGGCCACCGTCAGGTGCTGCGTGTCATCTACCGGCTGCAGGAAGCGGCCGTAGCGGGACCACAGCGGGTACTTGAGTCGCAGAGTCTGCTGCTCCCAGCTGCCCACCTTGGCCGAGAGATGGGGACTCAGGCTTCCTGGGGGCGGGGGGGCTTCCCGAATGCCCTGGCCTTCGTGGCCCAGGCTCCCAGCTCCTTCTCCCTCAGATCCAGGACATTCGGGCCCCATCTCCCTCCTCCCCGTAGATCTGGGCTCCCAGTTCTCCCCCCCCCGGGACCCAGCAGTCCAGGCCTCTCCCAACCCGCGGTCAGGGCGGGAACTCACCACCTCCCAGGTCCTGTCCCTGGTGAGGGAGATGACCACCAGGGAGGGGTTCACCAGGAAGCCATCCTCATTGAAGGAGTAATCCCGGTTGTCCCAGGTAATATTCATGAAGTACCTGCCCAGGAGAAAGGGAGGGGACATGTGGGACCTGGACCGGACCGTGGTGGCCGAAAACAGAAGAAGTCCCCTTTCTACTGACCAGCCCCAGCTCCCAGGCGGGATCTCCTCCAAGTTGTTGAAAACTCCCATAAGCCTCTTTTCTGTCAGGTACTCTCCCCTCGCTGCCCAGCGCCCACACACAGGGTCCTAGAGCCTCAGCCTGGGTTTGGGGAGGTGGAGACCCTGAGTGTTCCGGCCCCCGCCATCTCTGATTGCTTCCCATCCTCAAACTCTTTGGCCCAGCCGGTGTGGCTCAGTGGTTGGGCATTGACCTATGAACCAGGAGGTCACGGTTCAATTCCCGGTCAGGGCACGTGCCCGGGTTTCGGGCTCCATCCCCAGTTTGGGGCGTGCAGGAGGCAGCCGATCAATGATTCTCTTTTATCATTGATGTTTCTCTCTCTCTCCCTTCCTCTCTGAAATCAATAAAAAATATATTTGAAAAAACCAACTGTTTCTACCCCAAACCCACTTTGCGTTCCACTAACACTGAGTGTCCCCAAACATGTCAAGCGGTTTCCTGTCTCTAGGCCTTCGCAAGTGCTGTGCTCTCTGCCTGGAAAACATTTATTCTGTCCCTTCTTCTCATCCTGACCAATCCTTTCGTCTTCAAGACCCAGCTCAAATGTCCTTCCTCTGGGAAGAAGCCCCCGAGGGTCTCTGGACCCCACACATCTCACTATGCAATGGCACCCTGCACTCTGAAGGCCTGTCACATTGCCCCAGACACTGGGCCAGATCATCAGCTGGCCCCCTCCCCCCTGCCCAGGCCGTCGGTCCCCAAGCCCAGTCCTTCCTGCCCCTGGGATCTCCCTGTCCCACCCCCTCCTCTCCATCCTCATAGCCACCCTGAAGCCCTGGCCCAGCCTCTGGCCTGGCCTCCAGCCTCCAATCTCACTCCTTCAGTCTGTTCCCCACTCTGCCCCAAAGGGGTCTTCTTATGCCCAAATCGACTCCATCTCTCCCTTGCTCATAAGCCACCCATGGCTCCCTAGTGCCCCATGTCCAAGACTCCCAATGTCCAAGACTCAACGTGGTGTTCTAGGCCCTTGTGGCCCCGTCTACCTCCACAGCCTCATCAGCCCCAAACCCTAATTCTCCTGCCTTCACCTACCCTGAGCTGTGGTGTAGCACCAACCTGCCCAAGTTTTTCTCGCCTCTGGGCCTGTGCCCAGTGCTGTTCCCCTGCCTGGATACTCTCTCTTCCTGGTGAACTCCCAACTGCCTTTAGAATCAAACCCAAACCCCTTGACCTGGCCTAACAGCCTTGAAGGAGCTGAGCCCATTGTGTTTCTCCATCCCCTCGTCATAGCCCTCCACCCATGAAGCTCCAGCCACACTGGCCTTTTTTTCTCTCTCTCATTTTATTTTATTTTTTTTCAAATATATTTTATTGATTTTTTTTACAGAGAGGAAGTGAGAGAGATAGAGAGTCAGAAACATCGATGAGAGAGAAACATCGATCAGCTGCCTCCTGCACATCTCCCACTGGGGACGTGCCCGCAACCCAGGTACATGCCCCTGACCGGAATCGAACCCGGGACCCTTCAGTCCGCAGGCCGACGCTCTATCCACTGAGCCAAACCGGTTTCGGCCTCTCTCTCATTTTAAAATTTAAAAAAATTTAAATTTTTTTTCTTTTTCACGCTGGCCTTCTTTCAGGCTTTCAAGCAGGAAATTCCAGCCCCAGGGCCTTTGCACCTGCTGCGTCCCCTCCCTTCTTTTTTTTTTTTTTAAATATATATTTTTTATTGATATTTTACAGAGAGGAAGGGAGAGGGTTAGAGAGTTAGAAACATCGATGAGAGAGAAACATCGACCAGCTGCCTCCTGCACGCCCCCCACTGGGGATGTGCCCGCAGCCAAGGTACATGCCCCTGACCAGAATCGAACCTGGGACCCTTCAGTCCACAGGCCGACGCTCTATCCACTGAGCCAAACCGGTTAGGGCTTCCCTTCTTTTCATTCAGATCTTCCAGTAGTTGGCTCCTCCTCTTTATTTTTTATTATTTCATTTTTGTTAACCCTCACCCAAAGATAGTTTTTCATTGATTTTTAGAGAGGGTGGAAGGGAGGGGGAGAGACAGAGAGAGAAACATCGATGTGAGAGAGACACAGTGATTGGCTGCCTCCTGCACGTGACGGGCCTCCTGACCCAGGCCTACCTACAACCTAGGTACGTGCCCTTGACTGGAATCGAACCCAGGACCTTCAGTCCTCGGATGGACGCTCTATCCACTGAGCCAAACCGGCTAGAGCTCTTTATTTTTTTAAAAATATATATATATTTATTGATTTTTTTTTACAGGGAGGAAAGGAGAAGGATAGAGAGTTAGAAACATCGGTGAGAGAGAAACATCGATCAGCTGCCTCCTGCACACCCCCTACTGGGGATGTGCCTGCAACCAAGGTACATGCCCCTGACTGGAATCGAACCCGGGACCCTTCAATCTGCAGGCCGACGCTCTATCCACTGAGCCAAATCGGCCAGGGCTTTTATTTTATTTTTTATCTCCATATTTCTCCTGCTCAGAAAGACCTTTCCTGATGACCTCACCTAACCTAGCACCCTAGGCATTTCTTATCACATCCCACCGGTTTGATTTTCATGAGAAGTTATCACCTGCTGGCATTTTCTTCTTCCTTTTCTTTTTTGTCCCCTATGAGGCTGTCATTGTTCAACTCCACATACCCTTGTGCCTAAAACAATTCTTGGCACATAGTAGACTATGTAAAGGGCTTGTCAGTGAACGAATGAGTGAATGAATGAATGAATGAATGAGCAATTCATCCTTCCGGTCTCAGCTCACATATCTCCTCCTCCCGGAAACCTCCCTGTCTCCACAGGCTGAGCCGTGACTTGCGTAGCCTAGTTTGGAAGGCTGATTTGGGCCAATCGAATTCCTCTCCTGGGAGGATATGAGCTGTAGCATTTGGAGGGATGGGTGGTGGACAGGATGAGAGAAATGATGCGTTTGGGGAGGAAGCCGAGTCCCGGGTAAGCGGTCGTAAGAAAGGAACTGGACAGCCTCTGGGAGTGGCAAGCCAGGGGATGGGGGGTGGGGTGGCGATTGTCTTGGCCTCAATTCCTGACACCTGGGTCTCTGTGCGAGTTTATCTTTCCGATAAACCCCCCTTTCCCTGAGGAAATCTGAATGAGACTCTGCTTCTTGCAACCAAAAATGTCCTGGCTGAGACAGTGCTCTGCTCGGGGCTCCCAGGATGCCCATTTAACCTCCATTACTGCAAGCACCACGCTGTGTTGTCATTATCCCATCCGTGTCTGCCGCCCCTACAGGACCCTGCGTTCTTTGACGAGAAGTCCATGGTTTTTTTCATCTGTGTTCCCAGCGCCCAGCATGAGCCCTAGTTCCTAGCAGGCTGAACTCAGTAAGTATTTATGAACGAGGGATGTTTTTCTCGCTCTCTTGTCTCCTGGATCCTGATTCCCAGCTCGCCGGTTCTCAAAATGCTCCTCCCCTAGGGCTTTCTTTCTCACCCATCGCCTCTTCCTAAGCTCGTTTCAGGATGTAGGCCTCTCCTGCCGCTGTTCTGTCCCCCAGCCTATCAATTTCCCCACTCAAAGAGCTCCCTGTGGTGGGGGCGCTGTTTTCCACCACCCTGTTCTCCTGTTTTAAAATAATAGCGTGTACTCTGGGCGCACAGCTACCCAGCTGGAATCGGCATTCCCCAATCTCTTTGCAGCTCGCCCAGGGCACAGCACGTGCAGGAGCCACATTCAAAACATGTAACAACCAGTAAGGCACAGGCATTATTAGCCAATCAGGATCCACATCTAACCAACTCGCATGAACGTGTCTGTAAACAGCCAATAAGCCAGCGCTGGCCATGTGACTTGACTACATGCTCCCCAATGGGGAGTCAGACCTGTCCCTTCCACCTTACTTGTCCAAAAGGAAATGGCTTGCTCTCCACTTCCTCTCTTTCCCCCTTCTCATGACCTGCAATGCAGACTTGCCCACGACCCAGCTTTGACTGAGAAGAAGGGAGATGGCAGAGCAACAAGGTGGGAGGGGCCTGGGTCCTGAATGGTCACATGGAGCAATGGGGTCTCCTGATAACCTCGACCCCAAATCTCCGGATTGTTAAGTGATAGAGGAACAAACTTCTATCTTGTTTGGGGCATTGATTGTTGAGTCTTTTTGTTAGTTAAGTTCAGCTTGTACTCTAACTAGGGTATTTCCTACATCCAATCTGACAGAGACTCTTCCAGCATCCCCGTACCCCGTACCCTGTACAGGTGTGCTCTCAGACACGTGACACATGAGAACACTGAGGCCCAGCAGCTTGCCCAGACCCAGGTCTGACCAAGTCCAAATTCCGTGTTCTTAAATGTGGAACTATGGGTTCCACATGGAGCCTGAGTCCTAAGATAGCCCACAAAGGTGGGTCATGGGCTGCACTCCCCCAAATTTTGACTTGGTCCCCAACATTTATTTATTTTTAATATATATTTTTATTTATTTTGGAGAGGAAGGGAGAGGAAGGGAGAGATGGAAACATCAGTGATGAGAGAGAATCATTGATCAGCTGCCTCCTGTATGCCCCCTACGGGGGATGGAGCTTGTAACCTGGGCATGTGCCTTTGACTGGAATCGAACCTGGGACCCTTCAGTCCACAGGCGGATGCTCTATCCACTGAGCCAAACCAGCTAGGGCAGGGCTATCATTATTTCTATGTGGCATAAAGAAAGAAGCACTTCCAGGTAAGCCATGATAAGACATCAATTTTAAGACACTGTCTTGATTTCAAAGGCATTAAACTGTGAACAAATGTGCATCTTATCATGATGAAATACAGTAATACACTCACTGTGTCTCAGGTGCTTTTCCCAAATTACCTGATTGAACCGCAGAAAGGGGACCCAATTACTCAAGTACACCCCTTCCTTTACAGAAAAGGAAACTGACGTTCAGAGAGGACGTGACCCATCTGACAGCATTCAGGCAGGAAGTATCAGGCTCGGAGTCTTCCCACACCCCTCCCACCCCAGCCCCACTCACCTATGCAGACTCTCCCCTCGATGGGTCCGGTTCTGGGCGCGACAGTCATGGCCGAGCTCGGGCAGGAAGCCATAGTCACGCAGCAGGGCCTGGGCTCCTCTGGCCACCACGGCCACGCCAGCTGCCACACGCCGGGCCAGGTCATCCCTCCAGCCAGCAGAGCGCACTGCAAACAGCCCGGCAGGCAGTGGGGTGCCTCCTGGCAGAAGAAGGGGCTCCCCAGGGCCGCCGGAGCCCCCACCTCCAGCCAGCTGGGGCCCCACTATGAACCAGACGTAGCCAGGCCCCGTGAGGCCAGCTTCCTCCGCTGCCCGGAACACAGGCTCGGCCTCCTCGCGGGCACAGAAGAGCAGGCGGATCTGTGCGCTGAGGCTGC